CATTCCTGGCAACTTTTCATCTTGATAGGGGTGCATAACTTGGTGCTTAAGCTCAGTCAGGTTCTAAAAATCTATCACACTGAATTGCTTAAAAAACAGAGACGCAAATGTCCAACAGTAGCAAAACACAGATCTCCAACGAGAAGGCTGGACAGTGCTATAAATATTTTTGCTGTTCTGCAAAAGGAACACTCTCGATCCCTCTGTAAGAGGATTCAGTAGTAAGAGTCAAGGTTGGCAAGTAAGAACATTCATGACTCTTTAGCATAGTACTTTGAGCACTCATCTGTAAATGGGAACACTGCAGTTTGGTCACTCTGATAGTAATTTTTAAAATGTTGTTTACATTAAACAATTACCAGATTAAAAAAAGGACACAATAAGGTATGGGTGGGAACAGAGCCCTGTAAGTCCCCTCCCAAGTGACGGTTTTAAACATTAGGCTCTAAATTTAAACATTTGATTGTAGATTTCCTTTCTCTCCACCTCAAGGATTCTGTTTGTTTGGGTTTTTTTCTCCATTCAGTATAGGTTTAAAAGCAAGGAACTGCACTTCAGGTGATCTCTCAAACCCTTACAGAAGTTTAAAGTATTTTGCATAAAAGAGGAAAACCTCTACAGTGTCTTCAAAGAATAATCCTGCTCTTACGTATCCACTTTAGGAGGGTATTTTGGACACTGAATATCTGGCTGGAAACAGATACCTTCCTGCTGGGGCATGATTTAGGGTACACTTCAGTCCTGAACATTTGGTATTTTTGTTCTTTCTCAGTGCTTTTCTGATCAGTCTGATCAGATAAAGTCTGATTTTTTTTTTTTTTCAATCTTACTCTAAGGAGACAAAATTCCAAAGCACTACATAAAAAGTATAAATACCTAACATCAAAAGCTGAAGAAGGAAGATATAACACAGGGAAGAATTCTACCCTGCAGAAATAAAGGTTTTTGGAATTAGGCCTTTTATTCGGAAAACTCATAATTTCAGGACTTGCAGAACAAGCTCAGAGATATTCATTTGGATTATACTCATGTTAATAGCCTCACTGATTTTAATAGAAACATTTAAGTGAAGTTATGCATAACCTCAGTATTTGAGGTAGGAATACTAAAGGACAATTCAATCCAGGCCACTAGACAATAACAGTAACTGAAAACGCCGCCGCCGAAAAGAAAATGAACACTGAAATGCATCTCTGAACATACACATGCAAAATACAAGAGTACACAAAGCAGTACCAGCAAGCCTGTATTTCTGAATGTTTCAACAATTAATGTTATGAAAAATGTTAGGCCAAAACAAGTAACAATCAGAACACACAAACATAGGGCCCCATTCTTAGGTGAGAGAAACTGGTGTATTTCAAGCCAGGCACCTACTACAGGGTGCCAGAGCAATGAAAATTTCCTTGACCTTTCTTATTCTAACTGTATTCTTCATCTCTTCCCCTATCTGCCCTTTGGGTCTCTTACTACAGCAGCTTTACATACTGCTGTTCTCCGGAAGGGAGTGGACCGTGCATCAGTTGCACGGTTGCCTGTGATTGTAGAGGATGGGACTTAATTATCCTGGGGTAGAAGAGACCATCTGTCATCCAATAAAACTTCACGTGCGGACTGCTAATTTACATGCTGCCTCATTTAAGTGGAAAGATTTATATTCACAAAGCCTATTAAATTATTGCATGGTTAATATGATGCTTTTGTTCCCTTCATCAATATATTATACACAATAAACGAGATCATACAGGTAGTTTATTGTGCATTTGAATTCTGGGGTTTAGGGGAGAGGGAGTGTATTGATCACATATTTTATTTCAAGAAGAGAGATCCTTTTAAAAGATAATATTTTACAGCACATGCAAAAGATCAAGAAACCTAAACTTCCGTACAGTATGCAGTTTGCCACTTTTACACTCAAGCCCTGAAAGTGCAATGCAGCTACCATTGAAAAGATTAAACCGAAAATTATTGCAGCGGCATGGAAAAAAACAGGATGGAAAATCAACAGAAAAAACCCACACCTGAACCATAAACCAAGCACGGCACAATTACATGCATCTGAGTTTTCTGGTCAATGGGTCCACTTTCTGCATTAAATACGTCTTCTTGCTGAGACTACTGTTACGGCTTATTAAGCGCTGCCATTGGTATTTATGGGCTGCAGACACCTGTCCACTAAGAACTGGATTGAGACCAGCTGTAACTGTTTTCCTCATGCAAATAAAGCTCCATATGTTCAAAGGGTTGTATAAATGAACCCTAGCTAATAATTCCTCACAGTGTCATCCTGAAGTTGGAGCATCATCATCATGGGGTCACTGTAGAGTAGGTGATGGGAGAAAAACATACGGACACTCCCCACAGTGAAAAAACCTAACACTCGAGATAAGGACGTGATAAGCTTGCAGCTGTTCCTTTGAACTTTGCTGACCAGCAGATAGGCTTCTCATCAGTCAGAAAAATCTAAGTGTATCTATTACCTATCTCCACAGCATTTGTTGTGGTTATTGAAAATTAACATTAACTACAGTATTCTGAAAAAACTTTCAGACTTCTGTCGCTGGTAATACAGTTTTAACTACTTTTTTTTTCCTCTTCTAAAAATTAATGTCTGTAGCTTTAGCTTTTTCTATTTTCAAATATATTAATACAGACAATTATAGAAGCTACTAAACATAAAGGTGATTGATTGTTTTTCTTCATTTATTTTTAAATGTTAAGCTAATTTTGTAGTCTCAGGTGTTTTAATCAGTTTAAATTCTTCCCGTCTCCTGGGAACAATCCACAGACACTGACAAGGAGCTAGTGAAGAAAGACTGATCAGCATGGAACACACACCTGTTTATTACAAATAAATCCATCACATTTTAAATCTCAAGGACTTAATCAGCCTGGAGAGAGTTGCTGGAAGAAAAAGATATGGAAAATTCATACTGATTTTTTCCATCTATAAAAAGAATATGCTAACAATTACTGGCACGAAGAAATGGGCAAATACTGTCCATCGTTATAAGTTAAGGTAGGATTTTACAGGAATTCACTAGTGAGGTTTGCATCTCTGTGAATACATTACATAGAACTTCTTATGAAATTAATAAAATGAGCACTAAACTTCAAAAACAGATTTCTATGCTCAAAGAAATAAACACTTCATATAAAACCTAATATTCTGGATAGAGCCTTAGGATAGGAATGACAATAATAAAACTCCATAAAAATTGGCAATTAACAATTAGCTCTAATTACTCTCAGCTGGAAATATTATGCTCATTTCTGTAACAAAGATGACAAACAGATAACGCCAAGTTTGTTTGGAGCACACCTGATGAAAAAAGGGACAGTCTGACCTCCCACTATTCTATAATTGAAACAGTACGAACAAGCAATCAAAGCTTCCTCTAAAGGACCATCATGATTCCATCCCTGCAAGATACAGTGGAGCTACTCTGTTGTACTAATTTTCATCACCTTGAAGGTCTGGGCTATAGAAAAATGGAAGAGCGAAGCACAGTATTGACTACAGCAAGACTAATACAAAAGAGAATTTTTTTCAATAAATTCTCATCTTACCAGTACTGGGCAAAATGAAATGACCCAGCCCTCTCAAATCCCAGTTCATTGTTACTAATAAATACAGAAAAAACATCCTAGGAAAACAGCAGCTTGCTGAAGAGAAGGAAGTATCTCAAAGGAACCTACAATTGCAAAAGGTCATTGTTAATTATCATGAATAGCCATGTCGTTCAGAACAAGTTGGAAGATGGTGTTGATGCAAGAGGAGGTGAAATACTAAAAAGAAAGCAATCAGAAGTAACTGAGTAGACAAGAATCAGAACTACCCGGAACCCAACGGAAAAAAGCAAGGAAAACAAACAGAGATAAATAGCAAACCAACGTTATCACAGAAAATGGAAAGATAATGCTGAAAATAGTAAGAAAGATTAAGAATGTAAGAAGAAGGAAAAGTATTTAAAAGAAAAAATGAAAAAATAGAATGAAACATCCAAGAGAAAGGAAGACACTCACTAAAGGTGAACAAAATGTAGCAGGTTAAGTGAAAACCAAAATTATAAAGCACTCACTCAATAAACATAGCAATAACATAGAGAAAATAATAGAGAAATCTCAAAACTGCAGAAAGGAAATCGCTAATCAAGATACAGCAGTTACTCCCAAGTCTGTTTTCATTTCCAGGTAAAATTCAGTTTTGCAGTTGCCATCTAATGAGACTTCATTTCTAGTCTAGTCTTTTCTACTAGTCAATTCTAGTCTTCATTTCAAGTCTAATGGGACTTCATGAGATTTCATTTCATGTCCATTTCGAACAGAAATTAAAAATACACCCATTATATACTTTACACTCAAAAGAGAAGAGCTCATAAATTAGCAAATGACAATTAAAGTTGCTTGTAAACTACCTTTTCTTTCCATCTCACTCTGTCTATTCTAGACAACTTCAGTACCAATTAAAACAAAATACTTAAAAACATACTCCCTATTAATTATGTGAGGTAGCCATGACTGTTGTCAACTCCACTGGAAAGTCTAAGCATCTGAACGAATAGCAACAGCTGATCTGTGGACCACTGGTCTTACACTCATAATTATTTTAACGGTTATTGTTGACACAGCTAGAGTATAAGCTCTTTAGAGCAAAAAACTTCCCTCATACATACTCATCACTAACTGTCCAAAGAAGCTCTAGCAAGAGAGATACTCTCAGGCCACTGCTACAATACAAGTTAAACAGTGTTTCTATAAACACATTAGTATGAACTGAAGAGACAAAGCACCACAGAGATTAGTCCAATTCTGAATGTGAGAAGAATTTGAGCCCCATCTCTTTTATTCTGGCTATAGGGGCTAATTTAAGCATTGTGAATATTGCACTGTGGGCACAGGATTGACTGCCAGGGCTGTGTTTCACTACACTTTAATTGGTTATGTGATGTAATTAGACTAATTAACACCTATCCAACAGTTGTCTGGGGCCTACAGCAAATCTTAAAGCTAGCAGAGATACGGTAGTCAGGCAGGCACTTTGATCATGGCTTGGAGTGCAAATGGTCATCAGGTTTTGTGTGTTCAGCTGAATTTATTTCCTTTAAATATTGGAGAAATTATGACACTCAGGTCACATGACACACAAAATTAAACTACTAGTTACCCAATAGTTACTTAATAATTAGGTATGGTCCTCGGCATAAAGTGAAAGATATACCAATATAGTACATCTATATATTTACAGGTGTAAATTTTTATTATTTATCAATTTTAAAAGGAATAGCTGTAGCCACGACAGCTAGTGAAGGATTTAATTTCTAACCACCTGGATGTCACTAGTGATGACAAGAGAGAGCGAGCTTTCATTGTTCAGAGTCAGAAGAGACTAATGAGGGGCAAGAATTATCACTATTCAAGAATTTCCTACTTTCCTTCAGATTCTGTACTGGCTTCAAATGTGGTATTTCCACCTACTCCATGGTTGATTTTGAGTCAGCGTATAAAACCATGCACTTGCTGGGTCTTATCTGGTGTTATAGAAATGCAACATAAGGCACAAGCTCCCCCTGGCAGAAACATCTGAGCAAACGGTAAGCATTTTGGCTATCAAGAATCTTTATTTTACATAACAGCATCCAGAGAAGAGGACAAAAGAATAAATGGAGTTCATATAATTCAGAGGCCTTGAATGCCACTTGGAGCAAATGCAACACCAGGTATTTACACATATAAGAAAACTGTTTTTGTCATCTGAAAACTGATCTTAGAGTCAAGAATAAGCAACGGGGGCTGAAACAGGATCTTTGACATTTTAATACTTGCTCTCCTATGACCAAAAGCCTTTCTTTTTTCTGTGAGTTCTCATAAACTCTTTTAAGATTCGTACTCCCTTGGTGAGGTTACATATAGAAGTGACCAAATTTTACTTTTAATAAAATATTGGGAACATAGATTTACTTTTAGGCAGAATCAAGGCCACTTTGAATGTCCTGTACCTCCTCAAATCAGTGAGACTGTGACTCTTACTTCCATGAAAATCAGGCCATTTTCCTCAAAATACAAGTATAAAAATTTGATCTGAATAAAGGTACGACTCTAAAAATAAAGCTTACTTACTCTGTTTTCTAACTGCTCTCTTCAAACAGAGAGCATTTTCATTCTCATTGATAGTGCTTTCAAAACAGCGTTGTTCAGACAATATTTTCTATTTATTAAATTTTATTTTGCTAAGCGTTATCCAAATTATTTCCAGAATATTATTATTTTATTCCTGAGAATATTTGTAAGAAAGGCTGACATTATCACTGCGTAGGATAAAGCCTGAACACGTAAGAAAAAATATTAAACGTTTAGGACTAAATATATGCAATGTATTTGCAGAGAGTTTAGGAGTATTTTTTAATACAAGTTTTAGAATATTTTGCATTCCTATTTTTGTTAACCTAGAAGTAGCAGTTTTTCTTCCAGCCCATTGGCTTTGGGGTATAAACTTATTTTAGTTGTTCTTCTCTTTTTTTGTGTGTCTGTACTTAGGTTTTAATTTAAAAGTACATATAGTATGAGAAGAAAGATGATGCTTTT